GAGGCGCCCTCGGCAGGTCGCAGCCCGCCCCCCGCAGGCCCTGCAGCACAAAGCCTTGTGCATTTCGCGCCCCAGGGATATATCAGCAGCGCTGCTTGCCGCGCTCAAAAGAATGGCGGCGCAGGCTGGAAAAGAAATCTCCAATGCCCGCAGGCTGGACCTTTGTAGGGGGCAGCGACTATCAGACCCCGAGCAGGCCTCCCCGGGAAAGCTCCGCAGGATGACGAAGCCCCCCCCCGTTTTGAAGATGAGCTCGTCGATAGTCCCGGGGTGAAGGCGGTCTCCCCCAAGGGGCCTGTTGATTGCAAGGCCGAGGTTTTCCAGCAAATCTGGCCTGCGTCCTCGGCGTCTCTCCGGGGTGCCGTAGCCGTTCTGACTCGAGCTAGGCAGCGGGCGTTGGCAGCGCCAGGTCGCCCAAGCTGGACCCGTGGCACGTTAGACCAGGCCCTCCGCCTGCAGCCAGATGGAGGCCGCGGCGTCGACGGATTCGCTGCGTCAGATATCCGCAGGCTGCCGACAGAGGGAAGAGCTAGATTCATGGAGCTATTAAATGAGATAGAGCGACGCGTTGCCCGGCCGCACCAGGTGCCCCAGGCCATCATCATGCTGGAGGCCAAGAAGACAGGGGACAAAGCCATCGCCCTGATCTCCTGGCCGGCGCGCGCGCGGCAGCTGCTGACCTAGCCTGAGGTCGACGCCTGGGTGAGGGGGCGGCGCGCCACTGGGCCGCAGCGCTGCAGGGCTCGTCGCGCATGCGGGAGGCGCCGGCGCGGTCGCTGCAGGACGAAGCGGCCCGCGCGCTGGGCGTCTCAGCGGGCGCGGGGCTGGCCGACATTGCCCGCTTCTACGACTCGCTCAGCGCGGGGGCGGCGGCGTCGGCCAGCCAAGGCCCCCATTTCCTGCCGAGGGCGCCTGCGCTCGAACTGCAGCTGCACGCGGCGCGCAGGTGCGCGCGGCAGCAGGCGGCGCATGCGGAGCCCTGCCACGCGGGCGCATCCGCGCTGGCGGGCTCAAGGGACGTCAACATGTTGACCAGGGCGGTGGCGTGCCGAACGCTGGAGAGGCTAACGGAGCATCGCTGCCGCTGCCAGCCGCGCGCCTGGCTCGATGACGCGAGCACGTCGGTCTTCGGCAACCCAGCGGCGGCGGAGGAGGCGCTTCCAGCAGTGATGGTCAGCCTCAGGGACCTCAGACGAGAGGGTCTGAGCTGGCGGACAAGAGTACGCTGCTCTCCTCGGACCCTGCCATGACGAGGAGGATGGCGGCCCAGATGGCCAAGCGAGAGGTTTTTTTCCACGGCGTCTAGGAGGGCAGAGACCTGGGGGTGGACAGAGCCGCCGCGGGCACGCGCAGGCAAAGCTCACAAATGGCGAGAAGGAAGCCGGCGCACCTCTGCACGATATCCCTGGGCAAGAAGCTCAGGACGCTGCGCAGGGAGAAGAAGGCCGCCATGCTGAACCAGGGGGCCATGGCGTCGCTGCTGCACGGGGCGAGGGCGCACGGCGAGCCGCCGTCGGCCATCGCCCAGGCGCGCCGCTGCTACGCCGCTGCCCTAGCGAAGCCGCGCGCGGGCCGCCGCGCGACGACCTTCTTGGCGCTGGAGGGCAGGGGCCCCGCCCTGGAGCTGCCGCGCGCGCAGCTGAGGGCGTGGCTCGACCTCTACGCGAACCGCCCCGCCGCGCGCCAGATGGCGGAGCGCGCGTGGCCGCTGATCTTGGCGCAGCTGTTGAGGGTGATTGTGCGGCACCGCTGGAGACGGCGCCGAGGCGTCATGGGCTCGCTGATGCTGACGCTGCTGGGCGCGGGCTGGACACCCAGTGCGCCATCCTCCTGGATTGACCCACGTGGGGATGTCTGGGCGATGGCAAAGGGCGGGGAGCGCCGCGACCCCACCGACGTCATCGATGCCGTCATCCTGGACATCGAGACGCGGCTCTGGGGGGCGGTCGCCGCGGGCCACTTGGCCAAGGGCATGGAGGGCGGCCTTGACCTGACGGGCGCGAAGCTCACGCTGAAGAAGCGGCGCAAGCCGAAGCCAGCGGATGCCAGCGCGCTGCTGCAGGCCATGGCGGCCAGCACCTGGACCAAGGAGAGGCGCCGCCAGGTCCTGGGAGAGAAGCGCGCTGGTGATGGCAGATGCTGGCGCGGGGAGATCGCGGACGACTACCACCGCATCGGGGGCATATGCCCTTGCCGCCCAGAGCACCCCGACTTCGACAGGACCGAGCGTCTCTGCGATATGGCGGGGAGAGGGCACCAGGACTGCCCCATCGTCTGGCTCAGGGGCCTGGCGCTTCGCAGCTGGACGACCCCACCACCGTGCGAGACGCAGCATGCGCGGCGCTTCCTCGGGGAGGTCGACGGCTCCCGCCTTGCGCCCAGAGGCCAGAGGCATTTCCTCCTCCCCCCCGCGCGAGGTTTCTCTGATTTTGCAGTCGCCTGGGATGCTGAAGGTCCTGCTCCGCGGCGCAGTGTTTCGACGGCTTGAGGCGGACATTGGCGATGAGGTAGGCTTCCACCCAGCGGGCCTGCTTTGATGTTGTAGCTCGGCACCTCGCCTCACAGAAATACACCACTCAGGAGAAGGGGGTCCTCAGGACCGTTTGTACGGGTGCTTGGTGGACCAGGACTTATACTATTTCCAAGGGGTACATGCATTCAGAACTCTGCCCTCTTGGATGTGGGCAACGCGACACTCTCTACCATCGTATCTGGAAATGCCCAGCTGCACAGGATACCAGGGAGAGCGCGGTGGACCAGAAGATCTTGGACAGCATCGACGGCTTCGTCGATCATAAGCATGTCCTCTTTGCTGCTACCAGGGGGGGGGGGGGGCTGCCGCGCCCAGGAGATGATTACCCCGCCCCGTGTACGTCTGGATCCCTAGTGGCCGACTGGTTTGTGGACCCTCCTGATGACAGGACCGAAATCCGGGGACAGATATTTGTAGATGGGTCATGCAGCCGCCACATTAGTAAATAGTTAAGCCGTGCTGCGTGGGCCATCATTTTTTTCAAGACGACCAGAGGCAGTGCAATATTCGGGGGCCTGTGCACGCGCCGCTTCCGCAGACTCCGCAGCGCGCAGAGTTTTCAGCATTCGCTGCGGCCGCCGTGTGCATAGTTGGCCTCTCAGATGTTTTTTCTGATTACCAGTATGTGATCACCCAGTACGCGGCTAGCCCTGCGGACAGAGTGAGCTTTCGCAAGGTGCATGCAGGCCGCGCGCTCCGGGCGCACAGCTGCACCAGTCGCTAGCTGACGACAGCCTCACCGACCAAGAGCGTTTTGTGCGACTCGGCAACGACTTCGCCGACAGAGGAGCGAAAGCTGCTCTCGAATTGCACGAGCGTGACGACGACGCCCTCGACATTCGATGAGCAAGTCAAGTTCGTCTCAGCCTTCTGCCGCCTTGCTACGAAGGTGCTGCCTCTGTTTCCCCCGCCCAGGGCCGACGGTGAAGTGGAGTATCGACCGATCGGCACAGCCAAGAGCGGTCTTGCAGCTCCAGATGACTGCAGCTATGTTTGGATTGCTGGTTTATGGCGCTGCAGTAAGTGCTGCCGTGCCACTCGCAAAGCAGACTTCCCGGCTAAACTTATGAGTGCGCCCAGGCCGCCGCGGCGCAGGTGTGTCGGAGTCGTTTTTGGGCTTCGACCTCGACCTCATAGCTAGTAAGCGCCAGAGCATTGTTTGTTTTTCTTGCTCAGACGGCTCCTCGCTTTTCATTTGCCTCCACTGCGCCGCTTTCGTCTCAACTGGTTCGCCGCTAACTTACATCGGCAACGGTGCGACGGAACTCGCAATAGCCGCAAGAAGTGGAAATGGAACCGCGTCTTGAGAGGTGTCCACACACAGCACGGCAAAGACTCGGTCAGCGCACAGATTGAAGCCAGCGGAGATGATGAGACAGGTGGGCGCACTGGGCCAGCTCCGCCTCTTCAGCACAGCACGCAGCCACCATCTAACTCAGCTGCTGCTTCGAGCCAGCCAGCCGCAGCAGTGCCGATTGGCACGCTGGATCTCTGTGGCACTGATATGGGCCCCGCTCGCAAAGACAGCCAAGCCTATCAATTTTTTAATGCTCAGTTTGCGGATTTTGCTGCTGACAGTGAAGCTGCGGACTTTTTATTTGCCTCGAGCACTGTCGAGGCCACCGCACCTCCAACCTTGCGCACAGAAGTGCAACCGGTCCTGGAGCCTGCGCACGCCGTACTGTCGCTTCCTGTGAGCAGTGTAGCCCCACCTCCCGTCCCAGAGCCTCCAGCGTTGTCTGAGCGGGCTGAGCTTCGTCGGGTCACGGAAGCTCTGGGACGTGAGGAAGATGAGGCCCCGCTCGTGCCCGAACCGTTGCTGACATGGAGTTTTGCCGTGGCCTGCCAACCGTCAACCTGGCGCCACCAGAACCGAAGGGCGAACAGCGCCCAGGCCGGTACCAGTGCTGACGTCACCGGCCGCTGCGAGCAGTGACGCCCCTCCTCATGTTCCAGAGACTCCTGCTTTGTCTGTCGGGGGAAAGAAGCTCTGGAACAAGAAGAAGATGAGGCCCCGCTCGTGCCCGAGCCGTCTCGGGCTTCGGCCTTTCAAGCTAAAGTGCAGCGCCTTTTTAAGAGCTGCGGGAGGGGGGAGTGGGGGGCGGATTTCGGGCGACTCAGTCTAGCGCCACGGGGTCTCGGCCCCGACGGTGGCTCTAGCGCGTGCCAGATCTGCCCCTCTCCCACTCTCGCGGTGCTTGCACTGCACTTCCGCGGCCCCGCTGGCGGCCGCCCGCCACGCGGGGCCCACCCGCCCGCGGGTCTCTGGGGGGCAGAACACCCTTTCTGCCCACACCCGCGGCATGTGGTGCCAGCAGCGTCTCGCCGCCTCTGCCGGACCCTTTTCACTTGGCCGGCCTTTTCCTGGCCAGGAAGCGGCTGGAGCCCTCTGGGGAAACAATCCTCCTCCTCCTCCTCCTCCTCCTCCTCCTCCTCCTCCTCCTCGTATCCTCGACCACCCCGCGAGGCGTCCTCCCGTTCGGGCAAGCTGGACGAGCCGCAGGCCTCCGCCGATGCCGACGGCACGCCGTCCACCGCCGCCGACGCTGACCCAGAGGATCTGAGTTGTGATGCCCCAACCAGCCTCCCAGGCTCCCAGCCTCTCGGGGGCAACGTTGTGGGGGATAGGCTCAGGGGGGGGATGCATCGACCCCGAGTCGCCCATCCATCGCCGATAGGGGCCCCATAGTCCACCCCGCACAAGAGCGTGCTGGTTCGCTGGCGGGGCCTGCCACCAATGTGTAGGCCAAGCATCGCCCACTCCAGCTCGATGTTTCCCCGTGCGACGGTCCCCCCACTTCAAGTCCCCCCCCCAGGATTATGATGTTCCAACCTGCTTCAGCTTTGATCGCCCGAAATAGTTCCGAGCACCAAACTGTACCGAAACTCGGGGGTGTTCGCGTGTCGGGCCCTGGGAGACACTCGCCCGACATTGCTTGGACTCTTCCGACACTCTTTCGACACTTTTCCGGGTGTTGGAAATTATTTCTGGGATGTGGTCCTTAAGAACGATGGGAACAACCCAAGATCTAAGAATCCATATTCACACATACTAGATTCACATTATCATGAAGTCGGGCCTGTCCCTCTACAGGAGGAATATTCAAAAATAGTCACAGAATAGTCTGGGGGCGATGTTTTGAGCATATTGGGATGTTTTGAGTCTTTTTTTAACTACTTTTAATTTTCCGCCCAAGATCTTCCTGTGGGAGGACACGCCCGACCTAGCACTGACACGAATCGGCGGTGCGCCCCCGGGGGCAGCGGAGGAGGAGGGAGGAGGAAGAGGAGGAGCAGGAGGAGGAGCAGGAGGAGGAGGAGGAGGGAGGAGGAGGAGGAGGAGGAGGAGGAGGAGGAGGAGGAGGAGGAGGTATGATGAAGGAGGAGGCGAAGGCAGAAGTGAGGAGGTAGAGGAGGTAAGGGATTGTAGTGGAGTCGTGTGTGGTGGAGTTTGGGGGTAGGGAGGAGGAGGAGGAGAGGGAGGGCGAGGAGGACCGAGGATGATGATGATGATGATGATGATGATGATGATGATGATGATGATGATGATGATGATGATGATGATGATGATGATGATGATGATGCTGATGCTGATGATGATGATGATGATGATGAGTGATGATGAGTGATGATGATGATGATGATGATGGAAGAGGAGGAGGAGGAGGAGGAGGGGGAGGAGGAGGAGGAGGAGGAGGAGGAGGAGGAGGAGGAGGAGGAGGAGGAGGGGGGGAGGAGGGCGACCCGTACAGTCAACCCGCATAGTAAGGATGGGTGACCTTCCCAAGTGTACGCTTTCATCCTTGCCTCCTCGGTCCATCCTTGGCCACTCTCGTTGGCCGCGCCCCGCTCGAAAAGCTTCGAGGTGGGCGTCCAAGGCCCTTGCAGCCTTATTGCGCATCCTCATGATACGATTTGACTGTACAGTCGGCCCGGAATAGTAGGTCGACCCTGCCAGATCAAGGGTACCCTTGTGTCCTGAGCTTCGCGACCCACGTCTTCCTACATTCCTGCGGCAATGTGGCCCTCGGAAGGGTCTCGCGTCCTCTCGCGTGTCCACCCCAATCAATCCCGACTGTATCCAGACCCCCACCATCTCAGCACCCCCGTGCGGGATGCACCTCCCGAAGCCCGGAGGAGGCAGCCCATGCATAGTAGCCCCACCTCGGGGGCTAAAGCGGCCAGAGGTGCCCAGGCCTCCCATGGGGGTAGGGTTACGTCGGGCCTGTCCCTCTGCAGGGGGAATCTTCAAAAATAATTAAAAAATAGCCTGGGGACTATTTTTTTACTATTTTTGAGCATTTGGGGAAATGTTTGAGCATTCTTCATTTGTCGCGCAAAATCCCCCTGAAGGGGGACAGGCCCGACCTGATAGTATCCCCACCTCGGGGGGTAAGGCGGCCAGAGTTGCCCAGGCCTTCCATGGGGGTAGGGATCGGTGCCCGGTCGAAACCGATGTCAAGGAAGGGTCGCCTTCCTAAGGATACCCATTGCATCCGTGCCTCTTTGGTCCATCCTTGACTCGTTTCGATGGCCCGCCGCGCTCGAGAAAGCTTCACCACGGGCGTCCAAGGGGCTTGCATCCTGGTCGCATATCCTTACGATCAGCTCTGAATGTACGTGGCCAATTCGCCCACGTAGCGAATTATCGGGCGACGAGAACTATCCGTAAGGGCTTCGCCCCCTGCCGCCGGCCCCCTACCTTATCATAATGGGATAGATCAGAGTCGCGTCGGTGCGTCTCGGCGCTGCCGTGGCGCATCTGGGAACATCATGCGAGGGCGGATAGGAGCCATCAGCGAATCTTGAGACGTTGGCGTTATCGAAGACGCCTACGGCGAATCACCGCCGCCCCCTGCCAATTGGAATCGCCCATGTGGCCGAGCGTTGTGGCAAGAGCTCTGCAAAGCTATCGGACCGCGTGTTCCCCCAGCCGTTGTAGAAACCCTTCGGGGAACATTTGGGGGAGGATGGCGGGGAAGACCAGGAGGAGGAGGAGGAGGAGGAGGAGGAGGAGGAGGAGGAGGAGGAGGAGGAGGGGGCATCTTTGGAGCCTCTGGGGGCACCCTTGGGGCCTCCTGGGAGCTTCCTGGGGGCCTCTTGGAGGCATCTTGGGGGCCTCCCTGGGTCTCTTGGGGGCCTTTGGGGGCTTCTGGGCACGGCCCGTCTGACGCTGTCGGACGCCGTCTTGGGGGCCTTTCTGGGCCGACGTGGGACCCTCTTGGGGTGCTCTAGGGCAGTCTTGCAGGCCATGGTGGGCGTCATGGAGGCCCCTCGGGGCCGTCTTGGGGCCCTCTTGGGGGCCCCTTCGGCCGTCATAGGGCCATCTTGGAGGCCTCCTGGCCGATCTTGGGGCGATCTTTGGGGGCTCTTGGGCCATCTCGGGCCGTCGGAAGATTGACAATGAGCAAATGCCACAATCATGAACAACCTAACGAACATCCATGAGTTTGGCCTCTCTGGGCCTTCCTGGCTGTCCTCTTGGCGGCCTCTTGGGCCGTCTTGGCGACCTCTTGGGGGCCTCTTGGACAGTCTTGGGGCCATCTTGGAGCCCTCTTGGGCCGTCTTGGTGGCCTCCTGGCCCGTCGGGCGCCCTCGGGCGCCGTCTTGGAGGCCACTCTGGGCTGGCGTGGGGCCCTCTTGGGGCGCTTCGGGGCCGTCTTGGAGACCATCGTGGGCGTCTTGGAGGCCCCTCCCCTCCTCTCACTCCTCCTCCTCCTCCTCCTCCTCCTCCTCCTCCTCCTCCTCCTCCTCCTCCTCCTCCTCCTCCTCCTCCTCCTCTGGGCCGTCTGAGGGCCGTCTTGGGGGCCTCTTCGGCCGTCGTGGGGGCCATCTTGGAGGCCTCTTGGGCGATCTTGGGGCGATCTTTGGGGCCTCTTGGACCGTCTCGGGCCGTCGGTAGATTGAAAAGAAGCATCTGCCACAACCTTCAAAAACCTACGTAAGGAAAATCAATGAGTTTGGCCTCTTCGGGCCTTCCTGGAGGCCCTCTTGGAGGCCTCTTGGACCGTCTTGGCGACCTCTTGGGGGCCTCTTGGGCCGTCTTGGAGACATCTTGGGCCATCTTGATGGCCTCCTGGCCCGTTTGACGCCGTCGGAAGCCGCCTTGAGGGTCTCTCTGGGCCGACGTGGGACCCTCTTGGGTGCTCCAGGGCAGTCTTGCAGGCCATCTAGAGCGCCTTGGAGGCCTCTTGGGCCGTCTTGGGGGCCATCTTGGAGGCCTCTTGGGCGATCGTGGGGTGATCTTTGGGGGCTCTTAGGCAGTCTCGGACCGTCGGAAGATTGAAAAGAAGCAAATGCCACAATCCTCGACAACCTAACGAACATCCATGAGTTTGGCCTCTCTGGGCCTTCCTGGAGGCCCTCTTGGAGGCCTCTTGGGCCGTCTTGAGACCTCTTGGGGGCCGTCTTGGTTGCCTCCCGGTCCGTCTGACGCCATCGGAAGCCGTCTTGGAGGCCACTCTGGGCTGGCGTGGGACCCTCTTGGGGCGCTTCAGGGCCGTCTTGGAGACCATCGTGGGCGTCTTGGATGCCCCTCTTGGGCCGTCGCCGTCTTGGGGGCCTCTTCGACCGTCATAGGGCCAGCTTGGAGGCCTCTTGGGCGATCTTGGGGCGATCTTTGGGGCTCTTGGGCCGTCTCGGGCCGTCGGTAGATTGAACAGAAGCAAATGCCAGAACCTTCAAAAACCTAATGGAAATCAATGAGTTTGGCCTGAAGGCCCTCTTGGAGGCCTCTTGGGCCGTCTTGGAAACCTCCTGGGGGCCTCTTGGGCCATCTTGGAGCCATCTTGGGCCATCTTGATGACCTCCTGGCCTGTCTGACGCCGTCGGAAGCCGCCTTGAGGGCTCTCTGGGCCGACGTGGGACTCCTCTTGGGGTCCTCCAGGGCAGTGTTGCAGGCCATCTAGTGCGCCTTGGAGGCCTCTTGGGCCGTCTTTGGGCCATTTTGGATGCCTCTGGGACTGTCTCGGGGCGGTCTTGGGAGCCTCTTGAGCAGTCGTGGAGCGTCGGAAAGCCGTAAATGCGAGGAGAAGGCCAACATCCTTCAAGAACCGCCGTAACATCGACGATGTTGGCTTCTTGGGGGCTCTCTCGGGAGCCTCTTGGAGCGCTCTTGGGGCCCTTTTGGGCCGTCTTGGAACTATCTTCGGGCGCCTTGGAGCACTCTTAGTCTCGGCAATGCGAATATGGAGTAATTTGCAATGGTTTATGGCCTCGGGGACGCGAGTACTGCGTAATTTGCAAGGGCTTGTTGCCTCTGGGACGCAATCATTGCATACTTTGCCTAGGTTGATGGCCTCGGGGACGCGAATATTGTATAATTTATGAGGGTGTGTGCCTCGGGGACCCGAGAATCCTATATTTGACGAGGGTTTGTGGCCTCTCGGGGGCGCGAATCTCGCGTATTTTTACGTGTCCCTCCCCCCGCCCCCCCCCCTGGGAATTCGGCAACGCGATCCAGGCGTGGTGAATTGCCGGTTTGGGGCTCCCCACACCTCGCGCGGACTTCAAAGATTTACAGCAGGAAGCAGAAAGCTGGATTGTAACACTGGAGACTTGAAACGGCAAGCGGCGCAGGGAGCAGCAAGCCTCATCCTCGCAGCCTGGTGGCCCCGCAAGGTGGCCGGCGGACAAGCATCCACTGCCCCTCGGTTGGGCCACGCCTGGGCCCAGGAGCCGTGTCTACGCCACGCTCCCCTGGCAAAAGCCAGGAGGGCGTGACGTGTATGCACTGGTGCGGGGTTCAGGATGGGGCTGGCCAGGGGGCAGCGGATACGCCCCACATGGTCCGGCTTGAATAAGGAGCATTTGCTTTTCAGAAGGGGCTCGGTCGTTTTGTTGGTCTGCGTTCCGCTGCTTTGTTGGGCGGCGAGTCCCCCTGGTGTTCCGTCGGACTACCCAGAATTGCCTGGAGAAAAAAGGGGCTTCGTTCCTGATTGGTCGTTCCCCCCCCCTTTTCTTGAGTCGGGCCCGTCCCTCTACGGCGGGAATATTCAAAGATGGTCAAAAAATAGTCCGGGGACTACAGTCAACGCGCCTAGTAAGTACGCGCGCCTTCATCTAGGGTACCCTTGTGTCCTTGCCTCTGCGGCCCGTCCCTGCCATTATCACTGGCCGCCCGCCGCCCAAAAAATCCCAACTTCGGCCTCCAAGGGTCTTGCGTCCTTATCACCCGTCCTTGCTATACGTTTTGACTGCATGTTTTGAGTATCTTTTGGGGCACCGCCGAAGATCCAGAGCCGCGCTCTGCGCCCCACGCTTCTGCCCCCCCGGCCCAAGCGTGCAGCCCGTGCGACGCCGACGCCTCGGCGCCAGAGGCGCCCTCCGAGGCCTCGGCGGGGCAGCGCTTCGGTGCCGCCCGCCCGCCTGCCGCGCGGCAGTCTCCGACGCCCCCCCCCCCCCGATTCCTCGAGCAGCGGCGGAGCGTCCCGGCTCGCCTACACAGTCAGCGCGCCCAGTGAGGACGCGCGCCTTCCTCCAGGGTGCCCTTGCGTCCCTGCCTCTGCGGCCCGTCCTTCGCCGTGTTCTCACTGGCCGCCCCCCGCCCCCGAAGTCCAACTTCGGCCTCCAAGGGCCTTGCGTCCTTACCTCGCGTCCTTACTATACGTTTGACTGCAGGCCCACCAAATCATGTGTTCCATCATGTTCCAAGCACTTTTGAAGGTGGTTTGCGCGAACAGTTCTTGGAACATGTCTTCGCAGGCCTAGAGGTTGACACCAACACCAATGTCGGCGGTGTGCCTCCACCGAAGGAAGGAGATCCTGATCTCGGTGATGGTGGTAATATTCTGGCTTCCCAGGCGGCCGAAATATCACCACCAGCAGCGAAATCTGGGATCATCTCTTCCCCCCGTGGAGGCACCCCCCTGTGTTGGTGTTGGTGCCCATGTCCAGGCCTCCAATGGCTGGCCGGGACTGCTTTGGTTGAGTGCCTCGGGTGCATGGCTGGGGAGACTGCCGGCCGCGCGCGGCGGTCTCCGGCCCCCCCTCCCCGATTCCTCAAGCAGTGGCGAAGCGTCCCGGCTCGCCTGTGGGCCCACCACATAGTGTTCTGAGCCCCTTTTGAAGTGGTTCGCGCGAACTGTTCTTGGAAGGGACTGCTTTGGTTGAATGCCCCGGGCGTATGGCTGGGGAAGCGGCTCCTGTTCAAGGCGTACCCTTTCCTGTGCAAGCTCTTCGGCACCGCCTGCACCCCGCCCTCCGGCCGCCTGAGGCCCCGCCCGCCCGCGCCCTGTCTCCCCAATTGGTGCTTTGCGCGCCCCGCCTAGCTCTTAACCGGAAGAGGCCCGCTCCTCCTCCTCCCCCTCCCCCTCCCCCTCCTCCCCCTCCTCCTCCTCCTCCTCCTCCTCCTCCTCCTCGTCCTCCTCCTCCTCCTCCTCCCTCCCGCCTAGCTCTTAACCGGAAGAGGCCCGCTCCTCCTCCTCCCCCTCCCCCTCCCCCTCCTCCCCCTCCTCCTCCTCCTCCTCCTCCTCCTCCTCCTCGTCCTCCTCCTCCTCCTCCTCCTACTCCTCCTCCTCCTCGCTCCTCCTCCTCCTCCTCCTCCTCCTCCCCCTCCCCTCCTCCTCTTCCTCCTCCTCCTCCTCCCCCTCCTCCTCCTCCAAGAGCACCTCCTCCTCCTCCTCCTCCCTCCTCCTCCTCCTCTCCTCCTCCTCCTCCTCCTCCTCCTCCTCCTCCTCCTCCTCCTCCTCCTCCTCCTCCTCCTCCTCCTCCTCCTCCTACCTCCTCCCTCCTCCTCCTCCTCCTCCTCCTCCTCCTCCTCCTCCTCCTCCTCCTCCTCCTCCTCCTCCTCCCGCTCTCGACCCGCAGACCAAAAAGTGCATGGCTTGGGAGGCTGCCGGCCGCGCGCGGCGGTCTCCGGCCCCCCCTCCCCGATTCCTCAAGCAGTGGCGAAGCGTCCCGGCTCGCCTGTGGGCCCACCACATAGTGTTCTGAGCCCCTTTTGAAGTGGTTCGCGCGAACTGCTCTT